ATCCTCTCTACAAATCACTCTTGAAGGAATAATCACACCCCCAAGATCACTCACAAATAGAACAAGAAGAGGATTACAAGTAAAGATCTCTCAAAAATCAAAAACTCAAGTTAAAACTCATGTAGGTAGGTAAAGATATTCAATACAATGCTCTCTAAACTTCTTCAGATTTGTTACCAACCATATTTATAGCCCCTTGCTCGAAAATAACCGTTTCTAACCGTTGGGGGTCATTAAATGCTCTGCAGGACATAAAGGTCGAGTTGCAAGATTGTCAGGAGAGCCGGCTCACCATTTCTGCAATCGGCTTTGCAGGATTCTGCACATTTTGTTTTCTCCGTAGAGCCGGCTCCAAAATGCAAAGCTGACTTTGCGAGTTTGATGCACATTCTGTTTTCTTTCACAGCCGGCTGCAAAGCCTAGAGCCGGCTTTGGTTTTTCGACTTTAACAATATTAATTATTTTTCAAATAAGTCGACCGTTGTGCATTAAATGCACCCTTAGAGCCGGCTGTAAAGTTAGAGCCGGCTTTGCGTCTTTTCTTCCCGTGCGCCAAACAACGGACCTTTAAATCTTTACTAGTAAAGCCAGCTGCAGCTTCCAGAGCCGGCTCTTTGCACTTCCATTTTACCAGAGCCAGCTGCAGCTTTTAAGAGCCGGTTTTCTGCACATTTTCAATCCTTTTGGTCTATTTTTAGTATAGTCCAAGTTTACTTGCAATTTTTTAGTAACTTAACTACACACTTAAATAAACCGATTAGTCACTCAAATGTGTTTTGTAATCATCAAAATCATAGGTACAACAGAAAAAGAAACAAACAAAAATGCTACGAGAAAAGTGCAAATATGGATGTCAATTTTGTTTTTTTTTTATTTAAAGATGTTAATTTTACTAATTTTTAAATAAGAATGTCAATTTTTAATTTTTTATTTAAAAATGTCAACTTTTAATTTTTTTTTATTTAAAGATGTTAACTTTTAATATTCTAATTAAAAAATATGTTTGTCATGTAAGCATATCATTCAATTAATTTTTAAATAGAAAAAGTTAAGAGTTGATATCATTAAATAAAAAAAAAGTTAAAAATTAACATCCTTATTTAAAAACTAATAAAATTAATATTTGTAAATAAAAAAAGTTAAAAATTAGCATCTTTATTTTGAAACTAAAAAAATTAATATATTTAAATTAAAAAAAATAAAAATTTGACATCCTTATTTGCACCTTTCTTTCAAAAATACTGGCTTAGTGTTTTCATTTCGACTCATCAAAGATTCAATTTTGACTAGATTCTGAATTTCCTCTCCCATGTTATCTTTTCTACAAGAATTTGTCTAACCTATGCCCTTACAAGTGCAATTAATATATTTTTTTATAATTAATTTACATAAAAAATTATAAAAATTGATATTTATATAGATGATTTCAATTGATTAATTAATTAATTTAAAGTCAATCTTTATAATTTTTTTAATATAAATAAATTAAAAAATTACATGTATTGTACATTTTACATGTGAAATAACCCATTAATATATTATAAGTTAATAGTGTTTCCTTCACAATAGGCGAGGTGACAAACCAGTAGAACCACTGCACCTGTTATGTCAAATCACTATATAATATTATATTTATTCATATTTAATTGAATCGGTGGTTTGAATGGTTTAATTGGTTAAACCAATCAAATCAAGAACCTGAGGTCAAAATGGTTTGACCTCCGGGTCGATTTTCAAAACACTGGGTTAAATAATGAAGTCCATTATATTAGTTTTACCCTGAATAGCTAACTAATTCTTGCATTAGAAAATTAAATACAATTAATCATTTGTTGTTTTTAATTTTATGTTAGCGCTCTCGATAAATACGAGGCCTAAAAGTCAAAGCACACAATGTAGAATAACTTGGATAAAGTTTAAGAATAAAAAGAATATCCACAAAAGGATAAGGATTAATACCTCTAATTGCAACCTCAAAATTTAGCGTTGCCTTTCTCTTAACAAATCATCTTCGGATAAAGCTACTATAAAAGAGTATATCTAAGTGAGAAAAATGCATAGATAATTATGATCTTTTTCATTTGGAAGATGATATTGGTATATTTTTGTAATACAAAAGTAAAATATAAGGATAGTGTTTTTGTGGCCAAACCTTCAGTCTTCTTCATCCTGCACACTCATGAAGGTGCAAATACCACCACAGTAGCTATGAATTGCTAACATGTTTTCAATTTGCAAAAGGAATTATATTAAGAAAATTATGCAACTAAAGCTATAGGAAACCTATGAGATAAGATTGTAGGTCTCCATCATGTACATGATAACATAATACATGTGTAGCCAAATTGTATAGCAAAGCCTACTACTTAGACAATATTTCCGAAGTAAACAACTCTCACTTCATATTTTTATTTCCATTCCCATCTGTACTACTTATAAAAGAGTTTGAAATTTTAAGTTCAAAAGTCTTAAATTCAAAATTTTGAAACAAACCAAGAGAGTGAAAAGAGATTTAGAAAATGAAAAATAATTATCCTTTTTTGTATTAAAGAGGAAGATGAAGAAGAAGAAGAAGAAGAAAATTGAAAAGGCCAAAAACATAAATGCAATTCATTGAAGAAATTTAAAGAAAATGAAAAGGACTCACAAAATCCAGCCAATTGGTTAAGGCAAAGTTAGTGAAAAGGAAGAAGAGCACTCATACCCTAAACTAAAATGTGAAAAAATTGTAGAATCACAAAATGAAAATCTGCATTCCTCAAAAGCTCTGTCTCTTTTCCAGACACCATCTTTCTAGTTATCAATTGAAGACCAATCCAAAAGTCGATCTATGCTCACCCCTGTAAGATACTCTATATGTTTGAAGCAATGTTCAATCATTTTATATTTGACGTCAAAAGGCAAGATTGCTGAATTACTCATAATTAAAATTAATACATGTTCTCATTAAAAAAAAAAAAGTAGTAGATGTTGATTCCTTGTAAATTTGAACTTACAATCATCTCATCTTCTTAAATATCTAATAACCATGAATAGCTAAGAAAGAGAAAATTTGAAATAAGATGAAGAAAAATACCCATGTCAATCCATTGTATCATATCAACCAATTATATCATATCAACTTCCCATCTCAAAGTTTTATTGCATTTGGTTGTCCCTATCTTTTAATTAAAAGGAGTTGTTTCTAACTATAAAAGCAAAACATTATGCATGGTTCCAAACTCTTCTTGTTAACATAAATAAGTTCTATCATTCATCATTTCAAGCTTAATGTCTAACAAATCAAGTTCATAATCTTAAAGCAAAACAACTCCAGATGTTTTGCCTACACCAAATTTGATTGTACTAATCTATTATTCCTTGTTATCATTAACATAAAAGAAAAGAAATTAATGCAAAACCTCTATAATGGATTTTGATTTTGAAGCTAGATTGAATAATAAAGTAAAAACATGAGTTTGAACATCCTTTGTCGCAGGAAAAGAAAAAAATTCAAAACCAACTGAGATGGAGTTATGTTAGTATGTTATAAATTTTAGAGTCATAAATTATAAATTAAGTTGAACTCTAATAGGTTTCAAATTAATCTAATTTTTATAGTC